GAATGACAAGCAAGAAGTCAGCAAATGGGGCAAGTTCATACCCAAGTCTGAAAGCAAAGAAGCTATGAATGTCAACACGTCACCTATGAAGTTCACGACGAAGGTGAGCAAGAAGCAGAGTATGAAATCCACATCTTTTCATGATAAGCCAAGTGGAAAGTTGAATCTAAAAGAAATGCAAGAGAAAGAGTACCCATTTCTAGATTCCGATGTGCCAGCTATTTTTGAAGAACTCCTTGAGTTAAATCTCATTGAGCTTCCAGAGATGAAGCGACCAAATGAAGCTGGGAAAACAAATGACCCAAATTACTGCAAATATCATCGACTTGTGAGCCACCCTCTGGAGAAGTGCTTTGTCTTCAAGGACAAGGTCATGGACTTGGCTCGCGAAAAGAAGATTGTGCTTGAAGATGAGAAAGCAAGCGCAAACCAAGTCTCTATCACCTTTGGCTCATTCAATCTAGATGAGTTATGCAGTTTAAAAGGAATCAAAAATGAAGAATTACTGGAGAACAACAAAGTTGAAAACGATCAACCTGATGATGATGAAGGTTGGACGTTGGTGACTCGTCGTAGGCACCACAAAAGGAGCCCACAAAAAGAATCAGTAGAACAACCAACAAGGAAGATGATGGTAAAAAGACCAACGAAAAAGAATCCAGTTAGGCATTTGAAGAAAGCAGAAGTGGAGATGCACCATTCTCAAAAGCCACGAAATCCAGTGACCTTGAAGGAGTTTTTACCAAGTTGGTTTCACACGAAGATTTCCCATGAGGGCATTGATGCCTCTTGTTGCCATGCTGACAAAGGGGAAGAAAAGAGTGATGACCTACCATTGGCACCATCTTCGGAAAAGCCCATCGAGTCCACTCCTCAAGAAGTTAATGCTTGTGAGGAAAAGGTCACGTTCACAAATGACAATCTTTTGCTAGGTGACACTCCTCATAACCGCCCACTGTACCTGGTTGGCTATATGCGCGATGAAAGGGTAAATCGGATTTTGGTTGATGGAGGATCCTCAGTGAACATTTTGCCAATCCACACTGTGAAAGAACTTGGTATTCCCATGAACGAACTCTCAGAAAGTCGTATGATGATCCAAGGATTCAACCAAGGGGGCAAAGAGCCATAGGCACGATCAGGCTGGGAATCATTATTGAAGATATGCAATCAAGTGCATGGCTGCATGTGATCGACGCGAAGACTTCATACAATATTTTGCTTTGGAGGCCTTGGATACATGAGAATAAAGTAGTTCCATCTACCTACCATCAATGTTTAAAATACTACGAGGGTGGAGTCGAGAAGACGGTAGTTGCTGATGATGAGCCATTCACCGAGGATGAGTCACACTTCGCCGATGCAAAGTTGTACTTGAAGAACCGCATTGTGAAGGAGCTGAAAGCTGATGATGGCATGAAAAGCAAGAATAAAGAGCCCTCAACTAAAAGAGAAGAGGTGACTACTGGTGAAGCCAAAGCTGTTAGTAAGGAGGTACAGCCCAATGCGAATAAATCTTATAGAGGGAATATTACGTCTTATGGCAAGAAAGTAAGTCCGGCGCTCCAATATGTCCCTAAAAGGATGAAAGATGAAGGTGAATCATTTAATCGCCAAGCTAACATGCTAAAGGAGTTAACTCTTCCGGTCAAACGAATTGAGGCAGTAAAGTCGTCCCCAACGCCGCTTGCAGGGTTTGCAACCCAAAATCGTTTGCAGAATGTGGCACTCCCTACAAAGCGAACAGATGAAGGTTTTGATCCTAACGCTTACAAGCTATTTGCAAAAGCTGGATACAATCCCAACGAGCCATCAAAGTTAGGGAAGCTCCCATCAGAAGCTGCAACGAGGCAACCACGTGAAGGTTTGGGATACAAACAACCGTCACCAGTGCGCATCTCAATAAGAAGGGCGAGCAACAATTATATCACTGTAGAAGATGAATCAGCCGCTTCTAACAAGCCTTCTGTCTTTAATCGACTTGGAAAATCACCTGTGAAGACCTCCGTGTTTGAAAGATTGGGTCCACTAAAGAAGGGGAACAAGTTTCGGAGAAATTTTCAAAGCATAAGAACACCCGCTTCACCCAAAATCCATGAAATCTCTAAGGATTTCCAAAGTTGGGTTTCTTCTAGAATGAGGCGACAAACAAAACTTGTGGTTTCATGTAAAGAAGTACTGAAGGTAAAGCCATATACTGTGGTCTATACTAAGGAACGTGATGAAGATGAAGAAAGTGTGGGTTCTTCGTATCATGTTACTGTACAAGTCGAGAATGGCATTCCATCTTCAATGCAAGATAATGCGGAATTGGAGGATGTTTCGCCGTGTTATCACATATCCTTCAATGACGGGGACCCTCAAGAAGATGAAGATACGAAAGATGCTCCACCTGAACTTGAAGAAGGAGTGAAGACGACAGTTGATGCCTTAAAAGAAGTTAACCTTGGCACCGATGAAGAACCAAGACCTACCTACCTAAGTGCTTTACTAGAAGCTGATGAAGAGAGCACTTATATTGAGTTACTCAAAGAGTTCAGGGATGTCTTTGCTTGGAGTTACAGAGAGATGCCTGGCTTGGACCCGAAAGTAGCAGTCCATCACCTTGCAGTCAAAAATGGTGCTCGCCCTGTTAAACAAGCTCAAAGGCGTTTTAGGCCAGACTTGGTTCCCTTGATTGAAACCGAAGTTAACAAACTCATCGAAGCTGGCTTTATTCGTGAAGTTAAGTACCCAACATGGGTTTCAAGTATTGTCCCTGTAAGGAAGAAAAATGGCCAGATTTGAGTGTGCGTTGACTATAGGGATCTTAACAATGCGTGTCCGAAAGATGAGTCCCGCTTCCCATTCCAGAACNATTTTTGAAGTAGTTTCGATTTGCAGGAGGAAGAGATGAAGGGCGGAACTAGTCCCACTGGGCGTGCCAATTTGTTTGCAACAAATTATATGTGTACAAAAATAAATTGCAACCACAATATAAATATGAAGAAACAAAATTTTATTCATAAAAAGACGTGGGTACAATTCTGTTTATCCCCTTGATTCTTCTCCCCTGATAATCTCCGTGATTCGAGTGCTGAAGCAGCGTATTTCTCGAATGTAAGGATGACACAAACCTCCTGGATGTATTTGATCTCCGGCTTCTTGAACTATTTCATTGTCAAGAAGTATCCGGCCATATTTTGGTCTCTTTGTGAGTATCCCGTGAGTTTATGGGATTTTTTAGACACCTCTTCAAGAGAATATGTATCCCTTTATATAGGTGTGAGTTAGGGTTTAGGGTAGAGTAACCTCCAAGAAACCCTAATAGACTCCTAGGATTTCTAGAGTCCTGTAGTATCTTTAATTTAGGATTTGGCTTGATCCCTTAAAATTTTGATGTCTACAGCGCCATCATGGCCTAATATGGAATTTGGGTCGTGACAGAAAAGCACTTCTGAGCAACAATTAGTGTTTGACCAAACTATTAAAAAGTGTTTAGAAGTGTATTTTTCTCCAAATTGATTTTCAAAAAAGTGCTTTTGAGGAGAAACTACTTTTATTCAGCTGCTCTAAAACTGCTTTGCTTCTGCTCAAAAGTTTTTTTTCTTCTAAAAACTTGGTCAAACAATTCAACTTAGATATAATTGGACAATAATAGGTAAAAAGGAAGTGGATGAATGGATATTAGTTTGATAAAATGAATTTTATATTTCAATAATTAATCATAAGTATATTATTATCAAAAATGCCTCTCTGCCTTTATAAGGCTGTGTACACACTATCCTCACCAGACCCCTCGTATGGGATTAAGCTGGATTTGTTGTTGTTGTATATGTTAGGACCGGAAAAATCAGGTGTCGTGCGGAAGCTAACAAGCAAACATTGAACAGCGATAAATCATACAACGAAAGAAAAATATACAAAAAGAGACACAAACATTTAACGTGGTTCGGTCAATTGACCTACGTCCACAAATGGAGATGAGCAATCAACTATATAAAAAGAGTGTACAAAATATCGAGAGAACAACCTCACTAAGAGGCAAACACAAGTGATACACTAACACTTGTCCCGTAAAGTTCTCCCCCTAAACACGACTCTAAAATCCCATATGGCTACATTGTGGATGCTACTGAATGAGAAGGGCAGATCCTCAATTTATAGAACTTCAAGAATTTTCCTACAAGAAAAGGACTAGCCAAATATGGAAGAATTATATTTTTCTTCTAGTAAAAGAAAAAATGAATTATGGTAAATGTGTTGTCATTTCCTTCATGAAATAGGAAAACCAATTATGGTAAGAAAATCTGGACAAACACCTAACAATTCTCCCACTTGGCTTAAATTTTCTTACAAAACAAACTTGATCCACCTTCTTCACATAGCCTTCAACAAGTCGCATCTCCAAATCTCAGCCACAAAGTTTGTCTCAACGTGCGTAGCAATCCGGTCAAATTTCTCAGACAAAAATCATGATTATTGTCAAATAGGTTGCGGCTAGAACTAAATCCGTCAAGATGATCATGTCTTGAACCTCGCTCTGATACCACTTGTTATTACCGAAAAAATCAGGTGTCATGTGAAAGCTAGCAAAGCAAACCTTGAGCGATGATAAATCCAACAACAAAAGAGAAATATACCAAAAGAGACACAAACATATAACGTGGTTCGGTCAATTGACCTACGTCCACAAATGGAGATGAGCAATCCACTATATAAAAAGACAGTGCAAAATATCGAGAGAACAACCTCATAAGAGGCAAACACAAGTGATACACTAACACTTGTCCCGTAAAGTTCTCCCCCTAAACACGACTCTCAAACCCCATATGGCTACATTGTGGATGTTGTTGAGCAGATCCTCAATTTATAGAACTCCAAACTTTTTCCTACAAGAAAAGAGACTAGCCAAATATGGAAGAACTATATTTTCATTCTGGGAAAAGAAAAACTGAATTATGGTAAATATGTTGTCCTTTCCTTCATGAAATAGGAATACCAATTATGGTAAAAAAATCTGGACAAATACCTAACAGTATATTATTATCAAAAAATACAAAGTTTACATAAAAATTCAAAATAGGAGAGGTGAGCATAATCTCGCAAACCACAAAGAAATTATCCAAAATTATAACAGTAGTACCAAATACAACTGGTTCCATTCTCCATCCTTAAACACATATGACATGGAGTAACTAAGAACTTTATTAAATGCTATTAATTTCAGAAGACGCCTAATTCCTCTTTCAACTCATATTTAAACCCTTCAATTTGATCCTCAGGCAAAACCAAATTCACTATCCTTCCATTCAAATTTGCAGGCCCTGCTAACACCAAAACAACACCTTCCTCACCAACCCCACTAATATTATAACTTGCAAAAAGTGGTTTTTTACCCCTAAGTTCAAACCCATAAATATTTGCCTCTTCAAGATTCACAAATGTAAGATTTGCACCATACACAACAAAGTCTAATATACCATTTTCTTTCTCCATTAATTCTTCAACAACTTTAGTCTCATCCACACCCTTTTCAGCTATCAACTTTGCCAATTCAAAAACATTTGCCTTTGAAACCTTAACGTTATCAGCTTCAACGATGCTAATCACTTGACCATTGTTAGACACTTGAGTTATTTCTCTGTCACAAGAGTTGTCCCTACATATAATTGTGACAATCCCAGGCTCTGCTGATTCCCCCCTTACCTTAGCCAAAATTTTCCACATTGTAGCAGAAATTACATCAAAAGGCTTCACTTTAGCTGATTGTTTAGGTCCAAAAATCTTGGAAATGTGTTGGTTTAGTTGCTTTTCTGTAATGTGAAAAGAATGTGATATCATTTTGCAAGTGTTGGTGATTCTCCAATGATCACCAACAGGATCAACCCTCTTTAGAGAAAATGGCAAATTCTCAACTGTAGATAATAATGGATTGATGAATTTATTGGTTCTTGAGTTGTTAAGAGACTGAGGTGGGAGTTGATGACCAGCCATGATTTGTGCCCACATGTTGATAAAATTTGAAGCTGAAAATACATCTCCAAGAACATGAGCCCAGCTTAGCCCTATTGACATCCCTCCACATTTGAACCAAGTGAACTGGACACAAAAGATCCAATGTGAAAAAAGAAGAAGTAATCAAGTCACATGTAGAGTAATTACAGGCAAATTTCTATTATTATTATTATTAATAATAATAATCTGTAACACGATAAAAGTGAAACTTACATACTATAATAAGTGAAGCTGTGTTGATCGCGTGTTTAAATAATCTTTACATTGCAACAACAACAACAACAAATCCACTATAGTTCTACATTGGGGGTTGGGGAGGGTAGATAGTACACAGACCTTACACCTACAATAAATGTGGAGTGGTTGTTGTTGGTTTTTAACCATTAATATGGCTTAAAGAGAGTGAATGGAACTGGAGGGAAATGAAATTTTAAGTCGTCCTCCCCTCCCCCCCCCCCCCCCCCCCCCCGACAAAGGGACATTGTCCCATATTGGAAGAGGAAGAGGTTTTTGATGGGTATATAAGCAATTGCTCTTCTTCTAGCTCTTAAAGAGTTGAGAAGAAGGCAAGCCTCGCGCCGCCGTCGTCGTCGCTCGTTCGGCTCGGCTTCGGTCAAATGATTGATTGATTAATTTTTTTGACCAAATTTATTTGTTAATAGTAAATATTAACAGAAATGTTATTAAATATTCATTTTAATAACAGAATACTAATATTAATATTAATATTAAATCCAACGGAATATTAAACGTTTTTCGGTTATCCATTTTTAGTTTTTTGGATATGTAACTGAAAATTAACCTCCCTCCTCTATTCCCGATTTATTATTGCATAAATTAGCCATTTATGTTATGGCATTTATGCTATGGCCATTTTACATAAACAGTCATTCTGAAGAGTTGCACCTCTTCAGTTTTCAGCTCAACATTGGCTATAAATACAAGTCCATTCTTTCAGATTTTCCATACGATTTTCTGAGTTCTCCTCCTTTCTTCTGCATACTTTTAACTTCAAAGAAAGCAACAGTAAGTGTGATTTGCTACCGAACATTGTGTTCGCTGAAACACTGGGGTTTGAAGTACCACTACACCATTGTGTAATTCGTTCTATCCTGGGAGGAAATAATCCATAACCTTGGGTACTAGGAGGGGATTAAATTCCTTAAGGAAACATTATGAATTCAGTGAGCTCGGATTAACTTTTGTTCTGTTTACATTTTCTGTTGATATGTTATTCTATCTTTTCCAGAAGTAGTTTACAAATACAGTTTACTAACAAGCTTTAGGAATTTAATTATTTTCTGTATTTGTGTTATGTTCACTGTTCTGGAGATTAAAACATTTGTGGTTTTCTACTCCGTTGGAGATTAAAATCTACGTGATTTTAACGTTTGCTTGTGTCATTCTTTTACAGAAATGACTATAACGGAAACCAAGCTATTCTTATGGTGACTGCCAATGCGTCGACAAGCCGAACATCGGCATTGGAACCGACGAAAAAACCCAAAAAAAATTCCGGGATTGATTTCAAGAGGTGGCAGCAGAAGATGTTCTTCTACCTGACTATTTTAAGTCTGCAGATTTTCATTAAGGAAGATGTTCCTGTTCTGCCCGATGAAACTCCAGAGAATGAACGCTTTCTTTTGATTGAGGCGTGGAAGCATTCTGATTTTCTGTGCAAGAATTATGTTCTTAGCGGACGGGAGGACGATCTGAATAACGTCTACAATGGCATGGAGACGTCAAAAGAATTGTGGACTACGCTTGAAAAGCAATACAAAACTGAAGATGCCGGGTTGAAGAAATTCGTTGCCGCTAAGTTTTTGGACTACAAAATGGTAGATAACAAGTTTGTTATTACCCAAGTCCAGGAATTGTAAGTGATTATTCACGATCTCCTTGCTGAAGGTATAAATCAAATTAATACTGATATTGAAAGTAGTAATTTTAGTATTTTTACTAACAGGATTTTCATTGAAGGTCTTGTCATCAATGAAGCATTCCAAGTAGCAGCAATGATTGAGAAGTTGCCTCTTTTGTGGAAAGACTTCAAAAACTACTTGAAACACAAATGCAAGAAGATGTCGCTTGAAGATCTCATTGTTCGGTTGAGAATCGAAGAGGACAACAAATCTGTTGAAAAGAGAGGCCGTGGAAACTCAACAATAATGGGAGCAGACATTGTTGAGGATACTTGTCAAAATAAGAGAAAGAAGAAGCAGGCTTTTGGACCGAAAAGCAACCCAAGCAAGAAGCAGTTCAACGGAAATTGCTACAACTGTGGGAAAGCTGGACACAAATCTATGGAGTGCCGTGCTCCAAAGAAAGACAAGAAGAAGGGTCAAGCAAACATGGTTGAAAAGCATGAAGATGTTGATGACTTGTGTGCTATGCTTTCTAAATGCAACCTGGTGGTAAACCATAAGGAGTGGTGGATTGATTCTGGAGCCACTCGCCATGTTTGTGCTGTTAGGGAAGCTTTTGCTACATATGCTCCTGTTGGACCTGAAGAGACGTTTTCTATGGAAAATACTGCAACGGCCAAGATTGAAGGATATGGGAAGATCTTTCAGAAAATGACTTCTGGCAAGGTGGTGACTTTGAATAACATCATTCATGTTCCCGAGATTAGGAAGAATTTATTCTCTGCTAGACTTCTTGTTAAGAATGGTTTTAAGTGTGTTTTTGTATCCGATAAGGTTGTAATAAGTAAGAATGAAATGTTTGTAGGAAAAGGTTACCTCGCTGAGGGCCTTTTCAAGCTGAATGTAATGGTTATTGAGAATAATAATAAAATTTCAGCTTCGTCTTACTTACTTGAGTCAAATGAATTATGGCATATACGTTTGGGTCATGTCAATTATAAAACCTTGCGAAAAATGATTAACTTGAAAGTATTGGCTAAGTTTGAATGCGACAAATAAAAATGTCAAATATGTGTGGAATCTAAGTATGTTAAACATCCTTATAAGTCAGTTGAAAGGAATTCAACTCCTTTAGACTTAATTCACACAGATATTTGCGACATGAAGTCAATACCATCTCGCGGTGGAAAGAAGTATTTCATAACTTTTATTGACGATAGTACTCGATATTGCTATGTTTACTTACTTAATAGTAAAGATGAAGCAATAGATGCATTCAAGAAATACAAAAATGAAGTAGAAACGCAACTTAACAAGAAAATCAAAATGATAAGAAGTGATAGGAGTGGTAGATATGAATCTTCTTTTGAACAAATATGTTTAGAATATGGAATTATTCATCAAACAACGACCCCTTACACGCCCCAATCCATTGGGATTGCGGAAAGAAAGAATCGTTCGTTAAAGGAGATGATGAACGCATTGTTGTTAAGTTCTGGTTTGCCACAGAACTTGTGGGGGGAAGCCGTTCTTACGGCTAAACGGATACTAAATCGAGTACCCCATGGAAAAACACAATCCATTCCATATGAAAAATGGAAAGGAAGGAAGACCAACTTGAATTATTTTAAAGTGTGGGGGTGTTTGGCAAAAGTGCAAGTTTTAAACCCAAAAGGGTAAAAATAGGACCAAAAACCGTTGCTTGTGTTTTCATAGGATATGCGATGAATAGTAAAGCATATCGATTTCTGGTTCATAAATTAGAAAATCCCAACATTCATAATAATACGGTTATAGAATCAGATAATGTTGAGTTCTTTGAAAATATATATCCGTATAAAAGGAATGTGAGTCGATTGGTGAAGGATCTGAACGACCTCGGGAAAAAATAAAAGAAAGTACATTTAATCTGGAGGATCCAAGACGTAGTAAACGTCAAAGAATGTCTACTTCATTTAGGACCAGATTTTTTGACTTTCTTATTGGAAAATAAGCCTCGAACATTTAAAGAAGCCATGTCTTCTTCGGAATCATTGTTTTGGAAAGAGGCAATCAATAGTGAAATAGAACCCATATTGAACAACCATACATGGGAATTGGTTGATCTTCCTCCTGGAAATAAACCTTTAGGTTCTAAATGGATTTTTAAGAGAAAAATGAAAGATGATAGCACTATTGATAAATTTCAGGTAAGACTTGTAGTCAAAGGGTATAGACAATGAGAAGGTCTTGACTACTTTGATACATACTCTCTAGTTACAAGAATTACGTCCATACGGATGTTAGTAGCATTAGCTGCAGTGTATGGTCTTGAAATTCATCAAATGAACGTTAAGACAGCCTTCTTGAATGGAGAATTGGAGGAAGAAATATACATGGAACAACCTGAAGGGTTTGTGGTTCTAGGTAAAGAAAAGAAAGTATGTAGACTTGTTAAGTCCCTTTACGGACTAAAACAAGCACCCAAACAATGACATGCGAAATTTGACCAAACAATGTTGTCAAATGGTTTTAAGATAAATGATGTGATAAATGTGTGTACATTAAAAATGTTTCAAATCACAAGTCATTGTTTGCTTATATGTGGACGATATGCTGATAATGAGTAATGACATTGCCAACATAAATGCTATTAAGCATATGCTAACTAGCAAGTTTGATATGAAGGAGTTGCTGATTCAATTCTGGGGATTAAGATCCATAAGACTCCTTATGGTCTGGCATTTTCACAATCTCATTATATTAAGACAGTACTTGAAAAATTCAAGCAGTTAGGGTTTAAAGATGCAAAGACTCCAATTGACGTGAATCTTGCATTAGCAAAGAACAAAGGCCAAAGAATATCACAACTGGATTATGCTCGTGTGTTGGGATGCTTAATGTACATCATGAATTGTACACGACCAGATATAGCTTGTGCTATAAGTAAATTGAGTCGATACACGAACAATCCAGGCCAATCTCATTGGATGGCAATGAAATGAGTTTTGGGATATTTAGAACATACCCAGGGCTTTGCTTTGCACTACAGTAAATATCCTCCGGTGATTGAGGGATACTGTGATGCAAATTGGATCACTGGTTTAACTGATTTGAAGTCCACAAGTGGATATGAAGGAGTTGCTGATTCAATTCTGGGGATTAAGATCCATAAGACTCCTTAAGGTCTGGCATTTTCACAATCTCATTATATTAAGACAGTACTTGAAAAATTCAAGC